TTTTTAAAACTTAAAAAACAAAAAAAAAAAATAAATAATTTAAAGTTATTTCTATTAGAGCTGATAATAAAAATATTAACGTTCTTTTTTCAAATTACTTAAATTCTGTTGAAATTACTATCAGTCCAGAGCTGATAATAGGCATTTTTAATACATGACTTTTTTTTTGACCTTACGATTTTTTTTTTTTTTAACATTGACGTTGAATTAGGACACTATTAATGTTTTTTGGTTTTAAGTTAATTGGGTAAATGGATTATCAGATACGTTTTTTTTTTTTTATAATACGCTACGTTTAACATTGTCATATTCGTTGTAGCTTACATTAAAAATATCTATGTTTGAAGGTACCTACTTATACTAAATTATTTAAGTTTAAAACTGATTTTTTTTTTATATATATTTAAATTTAGAGATTTTTTAACCTTATCTAGAATTCAAAGGCCAAAATAAAAAGAATATTTAAATTAGAGAATCGTACAAAATCTTTCTATTGCATATTTTTGAGAATAACTTTGGTGTATAGATCTATAAGTATGTACCTTGTAGTTGTAATGGTAACTAATAAGACGTCTCAAATTCAGCGCTTATAGCAAGAATTCTTTCATTTTTAAACGTTCAAATTAATTTTTAATGATCAACTTCGTGATTCAAGTTGAAGTCGATTATGTTATTTAAATACTAGTAATGGATAAATTGATAAAAAAGTCTACTTAAAATTTTTTGTTAAAAAATTATGTTCTAGATACAGAAAACTCTGAAAAGAGATAACTTTTAGTACTTGAAATTTTTTTTCAGTTCTAAAATAGTCAATAACTATAGTTGATATTTTTATCGACATTTTAAATACATACATTTTTTTTTTCAAACTCTCATATTTTTGTATCTGATGTAATTATTTTATAACTTTATAAAAAAACATCGAATTATGATATATTTGCGTACACAATATGCACTTTCTATTCATTAAATGTTTCTTTATAATGAATATAGTTCTTCTTTCTATTATTATAATATTTTTTATTTTTTATTTTTTTTTATCAAAAAGCATATTAATTAAAATGTTTATTTTTATTTTTACAATAAATAATTTTTATATTCGATTAAGTAGCAAGAAAGGTACTATCAGAATTATTATAATATTTTTTTTTTTCAATTTTATTAAGTTATATGCAATCTGTACAATTTAGCACAATAAGCATATGCGAGCCATGTAACAAGGGAAAAAAATAAACAGAAGAAAAACGTGATTAAATAAGCCACCCATTAATGACACTTAAGATTATATTATTAAGAATTATAATAACGTATAAAATATTTGTAAGAAACGTGATTTATTAAAACAATATGTGTTTTCAACATAAATTAATTTTATTTACTTCAAAATTTAATATGAAATCATAAAAAAGTAATTGAATTAAATAAATTATATTTTATTATTTTCTATATTATATATAATATATATATTAGACCGCTGTGATAATAGTAGTTATATTTTATGACTTTTGTGAGTTAATATTTGTAATATATTTTTAATATATAACTAGGTACCTAATATATATATATATAAACATAAATTATTCAAACGTTATCGGTTTAACTTTTCTTTCTAATAAAATAAAAATAAACTTTTTAACATATATTTACTGCAATAAAATATTTAAGATCAGAACTTATTCCCAAGTCAAAATGTTCAGCTTTAAAAGTATGCGTTAATCATTGCTAAATGTATTTTTTGATATTTATGAAATAAAGGTTGTGTTTTCTTAATTTATATTATTCTATACTAATATGATGACATGTTTTACTACTTGCATATTTTTAATGACTTCAACATTGATGAATTTATGATAAATTGCAACAGTATTAATTATTATTATTAAGTATCATATAAATGTATATAAATTACAATTGTATTTTAGCTTTATACTTAATTTAATATTAATTGCGTATTTTATAACAGTGGTAATATTTGTATAGATACTTGTGAGTTGTAACAGGATTCCCGTAATATTATCACAGTATACCATAATAGACGTAGGTATTTTAATTAATGTTTAATTTATCTGATCAACTATTTAGCAAAATAAATTTAAAATATGTAAATTATCTAGTCCACTAAAATAAACCTAAGGTTGTGAAACATTAAATATTTTCTACTTAATGATAATCAATACCGAATGTGACGTAATACTCATCTTAAGTTTAGTAAAATTATGAATACCACTATTAATAAATACTAAATTGATTCTTATTTAAAAATAATAGACATAAGTTGAAATGAATGAGATAAAAACATTCATAGGAAAAAATTAAAAATAATATCATAGTTAATAAATATTTATAAATATTAATTAAGTTAATTTATTAACAAATTTATAGGAAATAAGCGTAAGTTACTATGGACAACAAAGTTTTGATTGACATATATAATAACTAAATTCTGAACGTAATTTGTAAAAGTAATATAGAATTTTACTGGGTAATTAGAAAAATTTATAAATACTATGAACTATATCCATTTATCATCAATGAAACTAAAACTAATAATATCTGAATTTTTCAATCATTTCTTAGATTTTTAGTCGAAATTAGCGGTGATAACAAATTATTTTTTACAGAAACATGTATGTTACTCCTTTTGAACAATAACTCGTTATACTATTTCTATAATATTTGTTTTTTAAAAGTATATTACATTTGAGAAAAGTCTAAAAAATTATGTTTTTAAATACCATTTTAAATGGTACCTACTTAATTGAACAAAGTATAAATTATAAGTCATATTTTAATATTTTATTTTATTTTATTTTTTTTTTAAACATTAAAAATAATGGTGTTTTAGATACTTTATTGAATAATGAACGTAATAAACTAAGTTTGTATTAATAATTAAGCACTAATTTAATAAATTAAAATCATAAAAATAATTACATCATAAACTCATATAGATGTATTTTAACAATAATATCAATTTAAGATTTCTTTTAAATTGTTTTATAAGAGAATTAAATAATTAGTTTTCGCAACTATTTATGAATCAGTATAATGTTATAACCATATAAACGAGTATTTTTTTTTTCAATAGTTTTTACACTTGTAAACTGCAATTATAAATTAATAACAAAATATTTCAAAAATATAGAAAATCTAATTAAAAAAAAATTGATTATTTAGATTAATTGGTATAAAAATCCTATTTTAAATACAATAGTTAAATTCAAAATAAATACACATCGGAAACAATAGCATGATCTGCTAATACCCTTTATATCTAATATAAACTTTTATAAATCGTAAATGTCATTAAAGCGTATACTTTTTTCAACAATTTATTAAAATAAGAATAAAGGAAATATGGTGTATAATTTTATTAGATAAGTTATAAAAGCCTATCGTTTATATTGAAAAAAATTTATCGTAATATTTGCATAAGCATAGCATAATATAAATAGAATATAATTCAGACTTTGATGTAGGTACAATTTAAGCTTAAATATGTATAATATGCAAATATGCAATTTACACCTACATATTTTGTATATGATCCAGAATCAAATACGATTTTCTAATTCCGAAAATTTTATTAGGTTATGTTTTGAAACAATTACAATTTATAGATAAGTTCAATGGCATTAAATTAAGTTAACATCAAATATTATTCACATAAACCATTCAATCTTAACGTCCGTTATTAAGAAACTGAATTTACATAATCATAATATAATTCTCTCCGCAATTCTTAATGGAATAATTTATAGTTTCTAAGAATAATACTATAGTATACATTGACAATAATTTGGAATACATAATTTATGTTTATCATCTACATAATATTTAGCATATCGTTATTGTGCACATATCATAGCATATTCAAAAAAATCTATATAATATTCATCTTCTAGTTTTTTTATGTTCTTTTTGTCTATTTTTGATTAGTAAATTCTACATTATTGATTTTAAAGTAATATTATTATTAAAAATACTCATAAGTCATATTATTTGAATGAATTCATAAAAGTGTAATAAAAAATATTTAGTTTAATGATTTAAAAAAAAAAAAGTCATAAAGTATCATCATTATATATTAAATTATGAAATTTTTTGATATGAAAAACTCTAAAAAAAATAAATATTATTTTTTGACTATAATTTAACCATTAAAACAAGTGAGCACTTTAAATTCATATAATTCATATTATAGGTAAATCCTTAGTGTAATAAAAAAATAAAAATAATATGATAATAAATGAATTAATGTGTCATGTTTTATTTGTAATAAATTTCATATTATTAAAAAAAAAAAACTAAACCATACACAAAACTAAGAAACATTGATTTAAAAAAAGGAAAATATTTACTTTGATTCAAAATATTTTCAATTAAGACAAAAAAAAAAAAAGAAAAATACAATTAAAGTAGTAAAAAAAAGTTATTTTTAGAATTATTATGGTAATCAAGGTTATACAAATAATAATAGTTAACATAAATACGAATTGCAATACAATTTTATTTATTGAAAAATTATTAAACTTTTATTTTATTAAATTATTATTATTTTTTTTTTTTAATAAATCTATACTTATTTAATATTTGATTTACCACAAATAATTTTATTGTACGAATAATCAAAAAAAAAAAAAAAAAAATCAATAGTTAAAATAAATTAAATTATTTTAATCATACATTTATTATTATTATATACAATATTATTCAGTAGGTATTGTACTTTTTTTGGATTTCAATATTGTGTTATATTAAAACCGTATTATTTTGTCATATTTCAAAATAATACTTACGTAAGATATTCTGTACTTATAATTATAATTGCATTTTGTCTATCTTATAATTCACTTAACATTGTAGAAACTCCCACTTTTCCGGCTCGTCGATATAAAGTCATAAATTGCATTTACCTTTCAAAAGCAACATGTCTCAGCTTATATTTATCTCTCAGACATGTTGACTGAGTAAATTAATTAAATTTGCGATATTTTTAGGTGCAGCTCAGTGTTAATTAAACCAGGAAGAACGAATGTGAGACCATATTTCGTGTTTTATATGTGTGGATTTGAAAACTTGGTAAGTAAAACAAATAAATAAATTAAAATTTAGACTTAAGTAGTATTTTAAGATAGTTCAAAATTCTATAATATACATTTTATACACATTTTCATATATTGCGTTTTATTTCACGTGAAAGTGTCAATATCTCGATAAGTCTCGGTCAAATTTATCAAAGGACTCTCCCTAATATGTGTATCCAATAATTGTTGGTCTAGTATGCTGTGTACATCTAGAGACAAAATTTGCCACAAGGTATATGCCGCTTTCAAATAAGAAGGATAAACTACTAAGCTACGAAAATGCTAAAACAACATATCTCAAAGCAATATTGTGATTCAAGTTTATAGATTAGTAACTTAACACCTAAGTCACTTGTTGTAAAAATAATCAACAAGATTAAACTTTGGAAACACTGATAAGTAGATAACAATACCAACTTTTGTTATTTATCGTCCTTTTCAATAAACTTGTTTCATGAAATTATCTTAAATCGATTTAATAATTTATAAATACCCAGTAATATAGAATGAAATAGATGGTTTTAATTTCAGTTTATTTTGATAGAATCTATATTATGGTTAATACAGTTACTGTATTAATACATAGGTATAATATTAAAAATAATATGCAAATTCGCAAGTAAAAAAATTATAATCAACATTTAATTAAGTTATAAAATATGAATTGTTAAAAACATTTATATTTATTATTTTTTACATCTAAAATTTCGTTTAATATAATGGTTGTATAATGTGTGATGAAATTGGATAGTCATAAAATAACGATATATGTTATTATTTTAATAATTTTATTAAAATCGTAGAAATTTAATTTAAGTTTATAATAAAGCGTCTATAGTACAATGATATGTTCAGAAAAAAAATATTTTTATTTTTTTAAGAATAGAATATTATAGTTTAAAATTAATGACATATAATGATTAATTTGAATATCATTTAATTCCATAGTTAATAATTAATATTAATTAATGGTATGTTTTAAACCTATAATTTAATTCAAAATGAACACATTCGTTATGGTGACTTACTCAATGTCTAACAAGAAATGTACTCTACAATACCTAATAGATAATTTCTCGGTTTATAAGGTTTATTATTAATTAGACAAAATAAAAAAAAAAAAATGTTAATTGATAGGAGAATCAATTTTAAATGAACTTTAAAGTAAACCATAATATGTGAATTAACTAAAATTTTATTTTAATTTAATTAAAACAAGGATAAACAAACGTTACTGTATAGTTTCCATTTCAGTTAAAATAATTACTAACGGATAAATTATTATCTAATAGACTCATATCTTATAAACAATTGGAATATTTTCAAAGTAATTAAAATGTCTAAGGTAATAACTCTAAGTGGATGTTTCGGATTTTTTTTTTTAAGACGCTTTTACTTACCTAATTTAAAATTAATACTAATCATTACTTTATATTTATCATAATTTCCAATAGTTTTATTCAGTACTATAACTGTTTTATAATGATAGTTAATAAAATTCTTAAAATACATTTTATTAAAATTTTAAATATTTAAGCTAAATCTATCAGAGAAAAATATCATAGTAGGTATATGCTTAAATATGATATAAATAATTGTCATAAAACAGTTTAAAAAAATCAATCAATTTATTTCAAAATATTTTATGAGTAAAATTTTGTTGATGAAATCATGTGAAAATAAATAAATAAATGATCGATATATTAACGTAAGCAGCTAGCTTTTGATATATTTAGGTACATCTCATAAGAAAAAAATACATTTTATAGTTGACATAATGATATTTTTTTTCGATAGTTTTTACTTATTAATAAATTTATCATAAAAAATCATTAGCAAAAATTACTATAAATATTAAATTATACTACTACCGTATTAAATAATAGGAATAAAGTTTTTGTGCTGTTTTTTAAGGAAAGTAATTATTGAGATATAGAAATATTATAATCAATGTTTTATAATTACTTGACAACTTCAAAATAATAGTCAAACTATAGTTAAAGTGTATTTATTAAATACATTATTCATTATAGTTATTAGTTAACCGTGTCTTAAAATAAATTTAAATCGTATTCATTTTAAATGTTTATGTTAAAAATTTTATTTTTACTTGTAAACATAAGTTACATTGACTAATGTTTCTTATTGTTGATCGTAAAATATTATTTTATTATTTGCTTTGACATAGAATGTTTTGAAATAATTCTGAAAAATAGAATTGTATATATCTATCAATAAATCAAAATAATATACCATAGCTAATAATAATAAATATATATATAAATATTACTATTGAAAAATGTGTGCAGTTTAATATACGAGTATATTTGTGTATTTGACTGTATTCTTTTCAAAGTTTTTAATTCACATGTACATATTATGCATTTTAGTTTTCTACTAACGAGATTGATTTCCTTATAACATATGTAATTAAATTATAAATTAATTAATAATCTCACTTTTTTTAAAGTTCTTCTTCTCTTGTAAAATTTTAATTTCGTGCTTAAACTTTTAAATTAAATTTCAAAAATAACAAGAAATGTGTTCAATATATTTTGAACGAGCGAATGAGTGATCCCACGTAAATATTTTTATGTTTGAAACATATTGGGGTAACATGTCAAAAGAGTTAAAATATGAGTATCTTCCAACAATTTCAGAGTCTTCCAGTTGAATAATGATATTTTTAATTTTGTTTATATTAATATCGAAATATAATGAAAAGTTTAAAATATCTTACAAAAAATATAAGTACTAATTTAATAATATGATAACATTTATTATTGTCATTATTATAATTATTTTACTTTGAAGTGACTAAACGATATTTTGTAATGATAAAATTACAAGTGAATTGTAATTTATAATTCATTAAAAAATGTATATCTAGTTCCAATGATGTTTTAAATTTTGTACATGATATCATAAATTATATGTGAATTTGATCAATTTACTATATAAGCTTTATAATAATAATATATTAAATGTAATATTATCGATAATAATTAATCATAATTATAGTTTATTTATTTGTTATATTATTTATTATTATTATTATTATTATATTTTATTTATACATACATATACATAATTTTTTTTTAATACATTTTTTTTATAATTTATTTAATCAATCATCTTTATATATTAAAATATATTCCTTATGAATTGAATATCCAATTAAGTGTTAAAAAAAAGTTACAAAGTCATATTACAATTTTACATTAGCACAAATATAAAATATCAAAACAAAGTTAAGAAAACTGCTTAAACTTTAAACATCTAATGAAAGTGCAAATTCAGGTTACTAAAATGTGTAAGTATGTAAGTAGAATACAGTATTATAATACGTAGATAGGTAGTTACAAAGTTTTCAACGGTAAATTATTATATGAGGCTTAAAGTCATTATTCTTATACGATGTGTATGTAGAACAATTACTTAATTATATTAAATTTAGGTACATATATTATTACTAAATTAAAATCTACGAAATAACTATAAAATTAAGTTTGAAAAATTATAAAAATGTAAAATTATGTAATACTATTGCATGCTATATTTTTATTTTACCGTGGTTATTTTAATTTATATTTCACTATACATCTTATACCATATTTAAATTTTGTTTTTTTGGTGATACATAAAAGCATTTATGAGTCTTGAATTGGAACCGTGTTTTAAACTGTAATATAATCGTTAATATGATATATGATGGTTTACCATGAGTATCTCAATTTTGTCCATACAATTCTGTTCTGTGGTGAGATTATTTAAATTATATGAGGAGTTTGTAATAATATAGCTCTGATACTAGATACACACTTATATAATATTTTATACATTCATAATATTAAATCACTAATTTTTTTAAATATTTTGAAATATTTTATTTTTTTTAATGTTGCAAATAATTAATTCAAATAAGAATATGTCAATTTCAAACAGAAAGCCAATTAACCAGCGACAATTCCCAAAGGTGATAAATCGGTTATGGGGATTCAGATCGGCCGCAACCGAAGCAATAGTAGAGATGGTGGTAACGGCTTGCACAAAATTTGCATCATATTGTTCCCGTCGCTAATTAAAACCAATGAGGTCGTGTGGTAGTTTCATCAACATTAACTGACGGTGGGATGGTATATATTTAGATAGTAGCGAATACTATTGTGTTCGAACTTTGCTCGGTTGATTGGTTCCCCTCTAGATTTCTACCACTCACACAACAAGCTACCCGTCCTTTAGAATAAACGTTTTAATTTCAACAACATTTTGTGTCGCAATGAAGCCAATAATATAATATCGTGGACCTCTGTCAGTGGTTAGTAGTTTTTGTGCAACAAAACATCAGTTAATTTAATCCATAATAATGCATAGTGTCAATTATATACCAAGATTGTGGTAAGTGGCAAGGGGCTGTTTACTTTTAGCCCATCCCCCCACCTGAAAACCACTGTAATATCAGTCAAACAACCTGCGTGACATAATTGATATCGCCTTTTTCATGTGAGTGGTTAAGTTATTTTCAGCAGTGACGTTGGCAGAAACAATAATATTACTATAGTTAGAGCACAAAGTACGACTAAAATAAAAATAAAAATTTTATTTAAAAAAAAAAGACAACGGTGGTGGTGGTTTCGAAGGCGATCAAAAGATCTAAAACTACAGTGGGAAATTAAATTAAAATCCCTTTTCACGATAGCGAGAATACCCTCGTTCATCAATGTTATGACAACAAACAAAAACTAACTCGTAAAATAATTATTTTGGTTGTTTCTCACTCATGCTATAAGGAAAAAAATGAATTTTTATAGTCTTTAACATGAACATGGCCTATTTCATAACAGTTTTGTTAAAATTTGACAGTAAAACTTTAATACACATACAACCATATTAATTTCGTAATTTATATCATTATCAATTTTATTTTTTTTTTATGTTAGTTAAATTACTTTAAAACTAGCGTTAGATGAACTTTTTAAACATTTTTTATAAAAT